GCTCGGTGACCCGGCTCTGTTTCTTGCGTCCGAACAGGTTGCCCATGGCGGACCCGCGACCGGCCGCTCTACCGTCGCCGCCCTGCAGCCACCGTACTCGCTCCCCCTCCCTACGGCGGCCGCGCAGGGCCAGGAGCGGCAGAACGCGAACCGCCACTCCGGGATTCGCTTCCCGCACGGCCTCTTTGGATCCGCGGAAGCCGCTGGAGTAACCTCGGGTTAGTCCGGTCCGGATGGCCTCACGGATGCGCCGTGTGCGCACCCTGTCGGTGTGGGTGAAAACCAAAACTCTGCTTCTCTACATGGATGCACTTTGCAGGTTCCGATCCAGGCGCCCCGGCCTTCGGGAACTCCGCGGGCTCCACACACAAAGCGCGTTTAGTGATGTCGCATCCAGCGCTGCGCTCCGGAGTGTCGGCTGGGACGCCGTCCAGCACCGCCGCTTCGTTCTTCCCCCTGCTTCTGACTTTGGTCGAGGCTGAGGGACGGGCCGGTCCCGCTCTGTGGAATCGAAGCCTCCCCCTCCTTCAGGGGGTCATAAACTTTCCTGGGCCCGTTGGGGCCACGGGGCGGAGTCACCCTGCCGCCCTGTGGGGCTCCGGGTGCCGGGATTGTTGCAGCTGAAGAAATAGTCATACTCGGGGGTTGTCTCTAGACCCCAGGGTGAGCTCGGTGGGGTGTGGCAGACACCCCACACGCACGGCTTTCCAGTCTGCAGCTCCCGAGGCCTGCAGTGCAGCCCTGGGCTTACTGTCTCGGCCGGAAGGGGAGTCCTGGGGCTTTCCCCAGCCCCTCTTCGCCTTAGAGAGGCAATAAAGCAAGCATGCCGACTGCTGCGCCTTCTAGTTCAGTCATGCGTTCCAGGACTGAAGCACGAGCTATAGGAAGGGTCTGTGGGCTCCTCGGCCCCACTGAGCGTCAGACTTGGGCCAAGACTGAAGTGTCCTCCCATCCTCCTTTGACTGTGCCGTCTGTCCCCAGGAATGAGCCTCCTGAAAGCCAGCGCCTCGTGATTCCTAAGCTGTTTCTGCATTTATTTCCTCCCCCTCTGTCACAGTTACTGTGGTCAATGGGTGCAGGGCCTGCGACCCGGAGGTGGCCATTCTGGTCTGCAGCAGTGCTTCCGGGTTCTTCCTCCAGGTCTGCGACTTGACTCCATTTGGGAATGGGCCAACAGGCCGAGAGTCAAGTCCATTTCGGGGACTCAAGTCAGGTGTAGGCCACCAGACCTGGAATTTCGTTTCAGGGCAAGCGGTGTTCTAGTGGACTCACTTGTTCAGTCCCAGGGACCCTCTGATTAGCGGATTCCCCTCAGGCCAGGGCACAGGGAGCATCAGTGTGTCCAGCTGCCTGCTTCAGGCCTCAGCTCACCTTGGCCTCAGTGGTTAGCTGCTGCCTCTTGGCCTCTGCTGCTCTGGGTTCCCATTGTTCCCAAGAAATCTGAGAGCCCCTTTCAACAGTGCCCCCCCATCAACTCCACCTAGAGCAGCAGTCGTAGAACTTTCTTGCCTTTGAGGTCCCCACGCACATTTGCTTCCTGCGCCCTAGTGAAAGCAGTGTCTTCAGGGTGCATAGCTGGGGTGTGGCCTCACGGGCTGCCCTTGGCAGACCGGTTCAAAGTCCTTTCCTCCACGAATCTCCGGATTCTTTCCACACACACACTGTGGACGCTGGTGTCTCATGCTAACTGCAGGCCCTGTCGAGTCTGAGTTTCAGTCCATCAAGGAAAGCATGGGCTGTGGCTCCAACTGCATGAGGGGAACCCGGGGAGGGGTGGAGCAGCGAATTCCATCCCATCTGGGTTCTATTTCAACCTCCTCAGTCTAACACCCTAGGATCCACTTCCACACATATCCCCAGGTCTCTGCCAATATATAGTTGAAAAATCTCTGAATTCTTGTAGTCTATAATCCAGGATTTGGCAAACTATGGCCCGTGAGCCACATTTGGCCCAGAGCTTGTTTTTTGTACAGCTCATGAGCTAAGAATGGTTTTTATACTTTTAAAGGGTTGTAACTCACATACACACACACACACACACGCACACACGCACGCACAATAACAACATTGAAAAAGAAGAGAAAGTTGGAGAACAAGAAGGTGGACAGAGGCCTTTAGTGTCCTACAGAGTCTAAAATGTATCCTCTTTGGTTCTTCACAGAAAAAACTCCCAAGTCTCTGCCATGAGCTGTTTCTTGCTGTCATATCTGGTACCCAGACCCCAGGTTGACACTTAGCCCCGGTCTTGCAGCAGAGGAGGGGGCTATGAGGCCACTGAGGGGGAGAGAACCTTGGGGGATCTGCTGCAGATGGGCTCCGGGGAGGAGGCTCTGGGTGACCTGGGACATTCAAGATCTTAGTCTCCTCTCTGAGTTCAGGGTTCTGGTCTTTCTTTCAAGGCCCTAACTTTCAAGTGAGGAAACTGGCAAGGGTTGGAGTTCAGTTGACACTGTGATCACGTGTGTGCATTTGGCTTTGGTGTTTGAGCTTCAGCAATATGGGCTGTCCAAGAAGTAAGAGATCCTGGGTGCAGTGGCACACGTCTGTAATTCTAGCACTCTGGGAGGCTGAAGCAGGAAGATCACACATTCAAGGCCAGCCTGGAAAATTTTGGGGGCCCCACCCTACAGCTGGTGTCCCCACTTTCACTTGAGTCCCAGGGGACAAGCTTCAGGTTGCATTTTATCGTGCTTGGTTCCCACCAGTCCCATAGGGAAGGAGCAACGATTTTCTGAGGGTAAGAAGCTCAGTGTGGTGGATTCACTAATGGGCACGATGGAACGCCCAGCTGAACTGGATCAGCGTGGTGTGGGCGTGGAAGACCCACCTGAAGATTGCTGCCAGCAGCCTAACAAGAAGTGGAGGGGAAGCTTGTGGGCTGTTGATTTCCTTGGAGAAGCTTGCAGTGGCTGGCTTTCCTGATGGGAACTTGGCTGTTCTCATTGTTGGGGGAGGAGCTCAGATCCTCGTTGTTGCCTGGAATGCACTGGACTCTGGTCTCCACCTTGAGCAGTACTTCCTGGCTCCAGTCCGGATTTCTCAGCCTGGTGGCACAGATCCTTCACCGGCTGGCTCAGGCTTTCTAGCTGCCACCACTGGTCTTTGGGGTGTCCAGTGCAGATCATTGATACAGACGAGTGTGAGACAGTGCCCTGAGCTCTAGGTCTTCAGCTGGACTTGTGTGGGACATTGCCTTGGGATCCAGGTCCTGGCCTGGATTCTTCGGCTCTCTAGCATGTGGAGAGATCTCTGGCACTCCTCTAAGTGTTCAACTTTTTGGGTGGCTAATATAAAATAATTCTATAAATTATTAAATCTGTTCCCTTGCAAACCGACTACAACACTCAGGGATGTGTTCAAGCCCAGGTCACAGCCTGAACAACCTCCAAATTGGAAGGTCTGTCTCCTGGGACGATGGTTCCAGTCAGAGACAGAAACTACGCTGGTCATCTGAACAGGAAAATGCGATTAAAGAGTTGTTACTAGAAAAAGATGTTTGACTATTAAAAGGGTACAGGAGGACTCTAAGGAATCCAAGAATAGCAGCCCCCATTTCTAGGGCAGAGGACACCCAGGGAAGAGGCTGTGGGCGCAGAGGAAACTTGCCGGCCTGGGGCTGCACTCTGCTGCAGAGTGTGGCAGCCCCCAGAGCTTGCAGCCGCCCACGGTGACTCCAGCCGCTGGCAGGGCCAGCCAGGCCGGCCCGAAATCCATGGAGGGGCGCTCATGGCTGGGAGCGCCCACGCTGGAGGAGGCTGCAGAAGTAGCCAGTGGGTGGCTGCGAAGGTCACGCAGCAGCTGCACTACAGCAGGGGTGCTGAGCCCCGGGGGAAGCCCTGGGGCCATGAAGGAGGCCCGAGTCCCATGCCCAGCGCAGCAGGTAAGCAGAGCAGAAAGGGCAGCCCTTCCTCTGCCAGGACTCCGTGTGGCTCCTCCATGCCCTCTGCAGCCAGCCTCACCTTGAGTTAGCTGAAGAGTACTCCCAAGGGCTCGGCTGTGTCCTCATAGGGCGGGGGCAGAGTGGACAAGCCGAGGGCCGAAAGCCAGCAGGCCTCCAGCTGTGACTCCCAGACTCGGCCACGGAGGGTAGGTGGCTTCCTCCTGGGAACTTGTCCACCAAGCCAGGGGAGCTGAGCAGCCGGGGAAGAGGCCTGTGGGGAAGGAGTTTCTGTCTGCCACCCACAGTGCCTAGGAGCCTTCCTCGGTGCGTGCTGCCTAAGCCACACATCTGTGAGCTGAGAGAACCGCTCGGAGGCCTCACAGCGATGGAAGATGGGCAACAGGGCAGGTGGCTGGTGCACACCAGTATGTCACAGCGAGCTTGTAAAAACATGCAACTTAGGGGCCTTCTGCAGAGAAGCCTCTGGTCCTGTCCATCAGGAGCCACTCCTAGCCCTGGTGCCCACCTGTGCATGCGGTAAGAGTGAGTGACTATCTCAGTCTCACACACCAAAGACTCACTGAATTACATCCCTAGCCTTTTTTATTTTGGGATATGGTCTTGCCGAATTGCCTAAGCCACCCTCAAACTTGTGATCCTTCTGCCTCAGCCTCCTGAGTTGGGATTACAGGTGTGCACCACCATGGCTACCTCAGATTTTGTCAATCTAAGCTTTACTAAACTCCATCTTTTTGGTTCCGAGGATACTTACCCAACTGGCCAAGACCAAAGCCCCTGGCAGCATTACCCATTCTGACCACTGCTTGGTGACCGTGCCCAGCCTGCCCCAGCCTCTCACAAATCTGGGACCTGCTTTTAGTAGCAGCATCCATCACCTTGACCCCTCGCCTGCAGGCTTCTCACTGACAAGCTCCCGGGGGGATTTGGTGAAGGGATGTGTGCTTTGGGGCAGAAGGCAGACACAGAAAGTGCATGCTTCCTCACCACTTGGTATTAGTGTTCCTGTTGCTCCAAGCTTCTCACAGGGGCACAAGGCTCTGGACTCAAGTCAGACCCGCAAATCCAACCAGGCCGTGGCTCAGCCTCTGTTTCTCCCACCACATGTGGAGGAGGTGGGCTGTGTGTCAGATGTTTACTCATCTCCCGGGCTGGGCTCCACCTCACTACAGTGTGGGCTCTGGAGGTGATGGGCGAGGGGCTCCCCAAGGGCATCCCTGCCGCAGGTGTGGTCTATAGGCAGGGGTGAGGGTGCTGTTTGAGGGGGTCAAGTGCAGTCCCCCCAACTCTACCTCAGCTCTTTCCTACTCTGTGTTCTTTACATCAGCGGCCTGGGGAGGCTGAGAATTCAATTTCCTTGTAATTCTACGAGCAGCAGGGTAAAGCCCGGGGAACGATTTTCAGATACAATAGTCCTGCTACAAGCAACTCGATTTTCTTTTCTAGTAGTCCCACATATTTCCTGGTTTTCTCACCCTGCCTCGAGCTGAAAATTTAAAGCTTCTTGTATGTTATTTTAAAAATCAAATCTTCCCAGGGCTGGTAGAGCTCAGCAGCCCACCCTGCAGTCCTCCTTGTCCTGATTCTCACAGCAGGATGATGTGCTTGCAGCTGCTTCTTGGTCTCCCAGGTCTGCCTTTCTGGAAAGACCCCGCTTCCAGCAATGGCGGAGCAGGATCTGCCACAACATGACCAACGGCCACTGCCCTTGCTGCCCAGTGAGGCTGCACCCTGGGCAGTGTGGACAGCGGAAACATCCTGCCACACAGCGTGGTGGGCAGGGCAGGCCCCGCTGAGGCTCCAGGCTGTCCCAGCTCCAGGCAGTAGCTGAGAATGCCGGCTCCTTGGACTGTAGAATCACTGCCTGGGCTGCCTCCACCTTCAGATGTCAGTCTCTGTAGGTGTTCCCTTTGTAGGACACCAGCCACTTGGATGACCCTGCTCCAGGATGACCTCATCCTAACTACCCTATTTCCAAGCAAGGTCACATTCTGAGGTGTTGGAGGCCAGGGTTTCAACAGGAATTTTAGGGGTACAAATCTAACCCCTAAACACAAAAATCATCACCCTGTCTCATCCTTCCAGCATCTGCTTCTGGAAGTGGCTTCTGGCACTCAATACCCTATTACTTGAGGTTGCTTGGGAAAATAAGAAGCTCTGGGCTGTCCAGTAGGGAGGCACATAGAATCCGGGAGAAATGGAGGAAGGAAGACTGGGAACCTACCCCTGGGTCCTGGTGGCTTTCAGAGACAGAGGAACAGCCAGAAACTCTGGGTGATGGTCACAGCTGCCTCCAGTGCCAGGGAGGATCGTGGAGACCATTGTGTAACTGCAGGCCTGCCAGGGGACAGTGGTAGGGACTACTCTTTCCCCCTCGAGTCTCAGGTGGAAGCTGCCCTGGGACCCCGCTCACAACTTCCTGCTGCTGGAAGGGCAGTGGCAGGGGCGGCACAGAGCTGAGCCCCACAAGCTGGAACACACAGGAAGGCAAGGGTCAGGCGAGAAGGGAAAGTTCCAACCAGAAAATGGCACTGGGTGGTCAGTGGATGACACACAGGCCAGGAGGCAAAGAGAGCGGTCCCTGTGGGGAGCAGCACACAGGCCCCTGGGCTCAGGCAAGGTGGAGACCCGGCCTGCTGGGTACAGGAGCTGCCTGACACAGGCCGGACTTGCTGTAGCCCCATCTCCCAGGAAAGCTACTGCGAGGGTGGAGAGGCCATGGAGGCACCACCAGACCAGTCGGCTGCGGCCCATGCCCGAGCCTTGCTGAAATCAGGAGGGCAGGCAGCTTCCAGTCACGGTGGGGAAGCTGAGGGGCAGTGCAACTGCTCCTCCAGACCAGTGCTCCTCTGACCTGTGCCCCTCACATGTGTGGCACGCGTGGGTGTGCGCCAATACCTGGCTCATGCCAGGAAACCCGAGGGAAATGTGTGCTAGGTTGTGGGTTGTAGGGGGGGTACAAGCAGGCTGCAGCAGGATGCAGGCGGGATGTGGCTGGGGTGCCTGTGGGGTACAGGTGAGATGGGTGGGTGCAGGTCGATGCCATGGAGAGCTGTGCAGTGTCCAGTGGTCCTGGTGGGGTCTTGGTCACACTAAAAAGGTGGAGACACAGGCAGAAGAGAAGAAGGAACAAGTCCCAGGAATATTCTAGAATAAACCAAAGGAATCTGCAGACTTCCAGGCTTTGGGTTGAGTCCCAAACTGTTGATGCTGGAGCTCGAGGCTGTGGGAGCGCCCGGCTTGCTCTGCACATCTGGGACACACAGCTCTTTGCCGCCTATGGGTGGCCCGCGGGACAGGCCCACACTGGTGTGGGGGCTGCTTGGAGGGAGGCCCAGGAAGGCCTGGAGGACAGTGGCTTGCTGGTGACCCTCTGGACTCGCGGAGTGCGCCAGAGTGGGGATACAACTCTGGGGCCTTGTGAGCAGCGGGAGGTCTGGGCTGGGAGGGCACAGGAAGGACCACAGGCACCAGCCTCCCTTCGGGCAGCCCCTCCCCGCTGGGCCGCCTGGCTGGGCCTCTACGGCCCCGAGAGGTGGCCACGCGGTGGCGCTGCAGGACAGGCAGATGCGGACTGGCGCGGGGCTGCCAGTCCTGAGGGATGAGACAGCAGCCGGGCTCCTGCCCTGGATGGCTGGGCACGGACACCACAGGGAGCCGAGTCCGAGAGGCCAGCGGTGGGCCATGGAGGCCAGGGTGGCCACAGGATCTGCCCTCTACGATAAAAAATACCTGAGAGCAGGCAGTTTACAAATAACAGGAGTGCACTTCTCAGCCTGTGGGGGGCTGCGCTCTGGCTCTGAGGTGACACCTGGCTCTCCCGTCCTGAGGCAGGGGTCCTCCTGCCTGTCACCTCTCAAGGCCCCCCGTCGGGAGATTGACAGACTGCAACCGTCGCCCTACCCCTCTGGTCCTGTACCAGGGCGGGGTGAAACTGGCATTCAGACCCCGATGGTCTGCCCACACAGTCTGTCTTCCCGTCCTGTGCTGTCATTTTTTTTTTTTTTTTTAATAGAGCCGAGATGCACGTGGCATGCAGGTAACCATTTGAAAGTGTACAACGTCGTGGTGTTTGCGGCACTCACAGCGTTGTACAGTCCCCATCTCCACAACACTTTCACGCCGGCAAGCCCCCTGTGCCCTCTGTGGGGCCTCCCCTCCTTCCCCGCTGCCCCCTTATGCCTCCAGGGGTTTACCTGTTTTGGGTACTTCCTGAAACAGGACAGAACCTCGTGGGGCCTTATGCCTGAGCTCGTCCACTTGCTCAAGGGCTCCTCTCAGAGTCGTTCACGGGGAGCCAGGAAGAAGTGCGAATCCTCCAGGTCTTCCCTTTTCAGTGTTGTCCCAGCTGTCAGAGGCCTTGATAATCCTGCATGAATTTGAGGGCTGAATTTCCTGCTTTTGCATGATGGGCACTGGAGTTTTGAGAGGGATGTGAGGTGGTGAGGTCACTTGGAGAGTACTGCCACCTTACCATAGCTTTAGTTCTGATCCATAAACATGGGATGTCTTTCCACCCATTCCGGTCTTCTAACATTCAGCAGTGCTTTGTACTCTATTTCCCTGAAAGTAAGCCTCGGTTAAGATCGTCAGATAGATGCATTTAGTACATCCATTGCAACACTTAACAGATGCATTAAATTGTAAAATAATATTAACATAATCAAATATAAATAGTATCATTAATACTTAAATAATATAAATTATTTGTAAATACCCAAGCAGGCACCTTTGCCTGCGAGGTAAACATTTATGTAAACAGAAAGACTCGAGACTTATTGGCGAGGGACCACCAGAGCGGACACAGGGCACAAATAACGGGCACACTCAATAGGCAGTGGACGCGGCTGTCTGTGTGGATCCTCATAATACGTCGTGTGTCACATTGCACGTGCTTAACACACTCGTGTGAAATGTGTCTTCGGAGTTTTGTGTCTGCGGTTTTGTCGCTTTGGTGTGGCCCACCATTCTTGGCCGTCGTCCTTTTTGTCACCGCTCCTGTCCCGCAAGCCTTCGGTTAACACTGATGTAATGGGAACTTTGGGAAGCCAGCCCGCAAGGAGTCGTGACGGGTGAAGAATGCTTGGGATGAGATCACTGGCAGCTGCGGGGCCAGTGCCCTGCGATGAGGCTGCGTGGACAAGAAGAGAGCTCTGGGGCTGGACAGGCGAGGCTGGGCCGGTGGCTCCACAGGAAATGGAGTCGCAAGAGATCCAGGCCGGAATTCAGGGTTTGGAGTTATGATCATGGTCCAGAAGATGATATGACTTTATTTGAATAAATGTAGATTTTTTTTTTTGTGTGTGTATATATATGTATATATATGACATGCCCTGAAAATAAGCCCTATTGTGTCTTTTGGAGAAAAGGTTAATATAAGACTGGGTCTTTTTTGGGGGAGTGGATATGGGAGTTTTCAGTATGCTGATCTCTACTTCCTTTGTTAATTTATCCCTGGGTAGCTCATTCTTTCCCATGTAATTCATTTCATTTCTTTTCAGATTGTTCAATACTGTTGTATCATTTACTTTATTCCCCTAGCCCCCAAAATTGTTAAATAGCAAAAATTAACTCATAAATGCACACCAGTGTGAGTGAGTTCCACTTTGCCTTTGGTTGTGGCAATCACTGGCCTGTCACCCTCCCTGTAGTACCTGGGGGTGGTCACCAGCTCCCCCTTTCCAGGTACAGGATAGTTTCCTGTGTGTGGCTGGGGCTCTCGTGGCCACCTGGGTTGTTGGAAGGACTTCATCCTGCCAGTTGGGGGATGCCGACAGCTCTCTGGGAGTCCCCTGCCCGGGCACAGTGAGCCTGGAACGTCCTTACCCAGGACCACTGCTGGGGCACGGGGCCCAGTCCCAGGTAGAGAGCCCCTGTCCCTTGCTCCTGACATCCTGGGTCAGAGCCTGTGGAAGTCACCCCCATGGCGGGTCCTCCCTGAGCCCCTTGGGCTGAGCCCCTCAGGCCAAGCCTTCTATACCCACTCCCCTTGCCCCAGGCCCATGGGGGGGTGGCTGGATGGCCTGAGACACCCTGCCATCTTCCCTGTCTCATCAGGGTGGAGTCTGCACGGGGACCTTGGAGGTGGGTGGCCCTCTGGTCATGTCTGGATGGCACCTGCCCATGTGATGCAGCCCCCCAGGACTTGGAGACTGGGTGGCAGGATGGCCCAGTGGGTCCTGATGTCAGCTAGAAGTGTGTCTCCTTTCCAGCAGGAGACCAGCATGGTGAACGGCCTATGGCTTCTCTGGCCCTGGAAGCTGACTGTGAGACTTCAGGCTTAAAGGAAGCCACACAGTCCCAGGGAGGGAAGACCAGGTCTTGAGGGTAGTGGGAACTCCTTTCTCACCTCCTTCGGCAAGTGCATCATGACCCAAGGCTGCAGGATGGGCAGGGGAGGGCAGTGGAGCACTAGACAGGCTGGGCCAAGGAGGCCATGCCCTGAGGGACACACCCACACGGTGCTGCCGCCAGCTGCTGCTGATGAATGAGCAGATACCAAAAGGGTCACCCGCTGGCCTCAGCTCAGGGGCCGGTGGGGACGTCAGGATGCTGCTCTTTCCTGCTCTGAGTCTCAGGCATGGGGGCCTTGCCCCCTCTCCCTGGGGTCCCCGACCTCACCTCCAGCCACCCTGCAGTGAGCAGCACTTGGTCTCTGAAGGTGCTGAGGCAGCAGGTACCGAGATGGCTGAGCTGACCCTGCGGCCGGAGCTCCAGCTGCAGAGCGTCACCAAGTGTCCTGCAGTCACACTGAGGATGCTGATGGCTGCCGTGAACATGTCCCCGAGCCCAGGAGCCTGAGACCCTTCCCACCCCAGCTCCTACCCCACACCAGAGGATGGCGGAGACCCAGGAAGGAGTCCATTCTGGCCCCTGGCCGGCCTCCATCGGCCACAGCACCCATGGTGGAGCCGCAGTGTCAGCCGCCTCCTCATTCTCATGCTGGGTGAGGGCTCTTGGGCCATGTCGAACGAGCCTGTGCCAGGTCACATGGCAGCAGATGGAGCCTGGCCACTCCTGTACTCAGCTGTTGGTGTGGGGCCGTGGGGCTGGGAGGGGCTGGGCCAGGAGCCGGGCAGATGAGGCCCCGCTGGGGTAGGGTGGGGGCTCCGGTTTGGCTAATGGTGGGGTGGAGGTGGGGTGCGAGGTGGTCCTGGCCAGGTGGGTGAGTACAGGAGCCGGGCCTGCCGTTGTCCAAGGAACCATGGCGGAGGTCAGTAGTGGGGAGTCGAGGGCTCTTCCTTCTCTCGGCTAAGGAGCCAGACAAGGTGTCCAGGTGGGTGCTGTGTGGCCACAAGACCAGTGGCTGTGCTCTACCAGAACCTGCACCACCGCGAAGACCTCCGGTGAGTACACGGCCTCCACCAGACACTGCTCCGGAAGCTCTGCCGGTCCCGCGGTTCAGGCTCACAGCACTTAAATCCTGAGGTCGTTGTCCCTACCTGAAGGCAAGGGCCCTGGCCAGCTGCCAGGGTGAAGGCGGATCTCGAGTCGGGGGTGGCTCTGAGGTGCCAGTGGACAGAGTTCCAGGCCGCTGTGGTCTGTAACCATTGACCCAGCTCCCAGGACAGGAGTTTGTCCCCTCATGGTCCAGAGGAGGTGGGCCAGGCTGGCCCTCCTGAGGCCTCTCCTGGGCTTACAGACCCTGTGTCTGTATCCCTGTCTCCTTTCTCATCATAAGCTGGTCAGACTGGGTTAGGGCCTGAGTGACCTCTTTAAAAGCTGTGTCTTCAAAAACAGCCACTCTGAGGGCTGGGGACACTGCATAGCCACTCGTCCTGGCCGCCCTGCCCCTTCCCTTACCTGCCGTCTGTCCTCAGAGGGCCTCACTTGCCTGACATGGAGGTGCTATCTCACTTCTGGGGACTTGTGGGCCCCAGATGAGCCCAGTGACTGAATCAGAACGACCCCTCCAGGATGTCTGCTCAAACTCCAGGAAAGGGACGCATGAGAGGCAGCGACAGCCCCATGGCAGGTGTCTGAGGTCCCACCTGGTGGCAGCCCCTGAGGAAGCCCTGTGGCCCTCCTTGGGGACACACCTCCACCCTGCTGTCCTGGCACAACTGTCCCTGGCCTTCATCTTGGCTGCACGGCCTGGCAGCAACTAGAGAAGTCCAGTGTGGCCTTTGCCTCCATGCTGGACTGGCCACAGGCCCACCCCATTCTCGTGAAAACTCAATTTGTACCAGGTTCTGCTGATAGGAAACCAGCACTAACAGGAAAATCATTGCTCTTCAGGTGGAGCTGGAGCACTGCCTGAGCAAGGCCAGGCGTCCAGGTTTCTATGGCAACCACCTCGCCACCTTCCAGGCCAGGGCTCAGAGCTGCGGACGTGGCTCAGGAAATGTTTACTCACAGCCCGCCCTTGCCTACCACACCATGGTCCTGGGATTGTTGCTGGGCCGAAGATCCTTGGCACACAATGGCCAGCACCAGCCCAGCCAGCTCTGGAAGACAAAAGCCATGGTTGTGTGGCATACCCCCCCGCCCAGCCCTGGCAAGCTGGGCTGAGGACCCCGGGTCTCCATGGACTCCTTCGGGAGGGAGGGACTCTGGGGTAGATAGAGGGATGGTGTGAATGATGCCCCCAGGCCATCCACAGCCCATCCCAGAACACAACCATATTTGTTACCTGGCAAAGCAGGTTATGGTGCCGGTTAGCAGCTGCAGCTCAGGACTTCTTGGGTGACCCGGGTCAGCCAGTGTCCTTCCAGGTGGAAGGGGGAGGCAGGAGGGTCTGCGTCAGAATGAGGGCTGTGAGAAAAACAACCAGCCGTTGCCGGTTCTGAAGGGGAGGAGGAGGCCAAGAAGCCAGGAGCAGGGGCCCTGGAAGGGAGTGGCCCAGAAGCACATCTTCCCCTAGACAGCAACCCAGCCAGGCAGCACCTGACCCGACCCAGACAGCCACCCTAAAATCACAACTGGGTGTGAAGAGGAGGAAAACAGAGACCATGCAGGCTGGCTCTTCCCCAGGACGCTTGCTGCTGAATTTGGGTCTTTTCTTAGCCACAACACTGGTGCCGTGCAGGGCAGAGACGGAGCCCCCACCCCCCATGCCAGGCCCGTGTGCCTGCCTGGAGAGGTCCATATGCAGAGTGGCCCATGCCTTGGGGACAGCACAAGGTGGCCGGAACATTTGCAGAAGACCCAGGAAATGCCCTGGCCTCCCTGCAGGCCCTTCTACAGCTGCTACCCTCAGCACGCGCGACTTTTGTCACCAACGGGCCGGGCATGCTGCTGCCTAAAGGACACCACACACGGCCGGCCACTCCTGTGCTTCTTTACTTTTCAACTGTTTATTGTTTGTCATTGCTCATAGTTTCACATTTTACAATTCCATGTTTTCTCAAAGTCTTTTTCAATTCTCATTTTGGTAAAATAAATAGAGATAAAGGAACTCTAGGTCACTGCTCTCTCGAGCCTCAGTTAACTCCATGATTGAATTTTCGCATCCAGCCTGTGAAGAACCAGCCCACGCGGTGGCTTGCGGACACACACACACCATGCCAGGGGCCCCAGGGCTCGGGGAGGGAGGGCCTCGCCACCTCCAGAGCCATCTGCACTTTACAATGTTGGTTTTGTCTCAAAGAGAAATGCAAGTTAGGCTGGAGTGGAGCTGACCCACCCGGAGGCAGCCGCGGAGGGCGGGCTGCTCGGTGTCTGGGGGTGTCACCCAGTGGAGCACCCGCAGAGCTGCGGGTGTTGCGGGGGACTGGTCAGGACCCTCCAAGGCTTTCTTGGCTCCAGGCTGCTCATTCGCCTGCAACAGGGGAAGAGACTTCATCCGGCCCTTCTCCTATGGGCGTGCACACGTCCTGGGGCAGCAGAGGACTCCACCTGCTTTGTCTGGTCTCCTTCAGTTTGCCTTGGTCTGCCTGCAGGGCTCCAAGTACCCAGAAGACGCTTTTGGCCAAAACAGAACCATCATCCAATGCAGGAGGGACCCGGCCTTCTGTCCGGGTTCTGACTCCTGCTCCCACTGTCCCTGTCCGCCTGTTGGCAGAATCAGTAGTGTCACCTCACTCCTCCATCTCTGGAAGATCCTGATTCCCAAGGAAAATGGAAAAGATCCTTCTGGAAACACCATCATTGCAGTCGTGTTGTTTGTGTGCAATTGCTCAGCAATTCCCTGTGCTCCTTCTCAGGACTAAATGGTCCACACGGCTTTCCCAACTTGCACACGTGCTCACACGTGCCAGACACACGTAAGGAGCCACCAGGGAACCCGGCACCCGGCACCGCAGCCTGCAGGTGAGCCTTGGTCACACAGCATGGGGGCTGTCGCTGCCCGCAGACCCCGAGGCCTCACGGCGCCTGTGCATCTGTGTGGTGACGAGTGTGCCTGTGTGCAGGCACAGGCAGGAGACTGCTCCATGAGCAGCTGCACTCCGGGTGCGCTGGTGAGCTGGGCCCCACCTCGCCTGTCCACTCACGCACAGCCCTACCCTGCGAGCACTGTGTGGAGGCCTGGTCTGGAGTCTGAGCCGAGGGCCTGGCTGTGCAGCCTTCCCCAGACTCAGATGCAGACCGGGCAGGGAGGCTGGTGGGCTGAGCACCCCTGGAGCTTCCGAGGGCCAAACAACTGCTTCCTTCCACACTCCCCAGCTGCCGCTCTGCTGCCCCCGACTCCTCAATCTCCAGCAGCATCCGGCCACTCGGAGGGAGGGGTAGAGAGGACAGAGGGCTGGCTGGCTGGTGGAGGCCGGCTGCCCCAGGCCCGCAGGACCGAAGGAGGCGTCTTTACCAGTGCCCCATCTTTTCTGTCGCTAATGCTCTGGTCACATGAAAATGAAACAACTGTGTCCCCCCTGAAAAACCTCAGAAGAGAAACAGGCCCGGAGGAGACCCGATGTGCTGCGGCATGCCGCGGTCCCGGGTGCCTGGGTGCCGAATGGCGGCAAGAGCGAGGTCGAGCCAAGGCCCCCCCATCTGGACTTTCGGATATTACGGCGAAGACGGAAGGAAAGAAAGCACAAGGTCCCTCCTCCATCGGCAGTGGATGAGGCAGGAGCCGTGGCGGTGGTGGGGCGCTGTGCCCGGAGTGAGTGGATTCACTATGTACACGGTGGCCGCGGCCCAGCGGGAGCCCTGGGTGCTGCTATCTGATGCGCTTCTCCACTGAGTACACGGAGATATAGTAGTCGTTGCTTCCCACGGCCAGATGAGGCTGTGAGGGGAGAGAGGGAGGCATGAGCTCGGGGTGTGCCGCCAGGTCTCAGCCCGGGTCCACGAGGGACCCCTCCCCTGCACTCAGGTCAGGCCCGGAAGCTGCCAGGTTTCAGCAGGGTGACGCGTCACCACCCTCCACGGGGGGCTGTCTGCACACTATGCACAGCTCCCCGCAGCTGCTCTTCACCACAGCCCCAGTGGGACAGCTCCGGGAATCAGATGCGTTTCAGCTGAGCGCTGCACACAGGCTCTCACGCTGCAAGAAGGCAGGTGGGCAGCACCCTAATTTACACATATGATAGCCCACAACCCTCAAGTCGACTAAGGCCAGGTGCTCCTATGCCCTGATCTGTGGCTCCCTCATGGGGAGGGCACCAGGGCAGGTTCCGGCACCCAAGGACACCCTGCACTGCATTCTGTGCTGTCTGCTCTTTCCTGACCCAGGGCGGGAGGGGCCCAGGGTACAGGCATCACTCAGAAGGCCTCCGACTGCTGCAGGCACCCACTTGCCCACGCCCCACTCTGCCTAACCCCGGCCTGTGGCACAGACCCAGTGTGGGTGGAAGGCCAAGCAGCTGATGGCCCCGACGCGCTGGCCCATGAAGCCATCGTAGTACTTGATGTTGTTGATCAGCTCGCCGTTTCCATTGTAGATGGCAGTGAACTGGTTCATGGAGCCACTGTAGGGAGGAAGTGGAGAAATTCAGGACGTGAGCTCCTGCCACCTTTTGGGTAGGCCCAGAGGCGAAAGACCAAAGGGACAGGGACAAGGATGGGGAGTGGACTGGTGGCAGGTGGAGCCTGACCAGGGAATGGCAACTTGTCTCTTGTTGCCCTCACGTGGGGACTCGGGCTCTGCCCCACAGATGCCTCACAGGGCCTGAGAGTTTGCTGTGGGAGTGGGGTGTAGCAGGGAAGGGACCTCTTGTTTTTGTTTCACAGTGGTACAGCAGTTCAATCCCTCTGATGGCAAAAGGGCAGAGAACCCCACCATGTTGGCCGTGGTCTCTCCGTTGGCAGGGGTGGGACACCTACCAAGCGATCAGGTTTGCCTGTGGGTGGATGTCCAGGGCTGTCAGCCCCTTCACGATCTGCAGCACGTTCACGGACTCGGGCATCCGGGGATCGAAGAAGCGAACATCCCCATTGACACTGCAGGAAAGGGCCACGGCAACGCCTATGGGCAGGGCCTGGGCATCCCCGTAGTCTCTGGGATCTGATGCCCATTTGCACACACTGTTGGAGACCATGCCCACCCGGATGGCTGTGCTACCCATAGACCCCTCCCACTGGGCGTGGCGGCCAGGGCCTTGCCGAGCCCCCAGGGACAGAAGGAGGCCAGTGTGGGATCTGGGCGAATGCCCCAGCCAGGTCTGGAGAGGGGCCATGGCAAAGGCACAGGAGGAGGGAGGCATCGTTTCTGGTCAGAGATGTGACTGCGGCTGGGGCCCACCAGGTGTAAGAGGGGTGAGGGAGGCCCTCAACCCTGCCTCCAGTCCCCATAGGTGTCTGTCCTGAGTTATGTTTTGTTTTTATATCACAAAGGAGAAAAGAGCATCTCTTTGAAAAGATGGTGGCTTTGTGACCATAAATTACATTTTGCTGTCCTGTTAACAGGCAAATAAATATTCTCTGCTCTCAGCACAGTATTTACTGAGCAGCAGAACTGAATTTATGTGCAGAAAGTGGCTCAACTTGACAGCGTCACAATCCTGCTCAGCACTGTGCCTGCAGCCACCTGCGGCCCTATGCCCCACCCCGGCCCGTGGCAGACATGTCTGCCTGTGGCTTCCTCTGCTTGTGGCCAGCAGCCTTCTGTGCACCCCCAGTCCCACACCCTGACCTTTCTGGCCAGTCCCTGGGCAGGAGTCAATTACTGCCCCAAAATGCCAACACTCCCCAGATGTTTAAATACTGAGGACACGTTTAAATGGAGGGAAAATAACATTTTTGCAGCCAGATGCTGCCCACGCTGTGGTTACCTCACACTCACGATGTGGCCCTCGGGGTGCTTCTGCAGGTAAGCCTTCACCACCCAGGCCGTGTGCTCCCGGTAGGTCATGACGCGGCTGCAGGGGAGGAGGGCACTGTCAGGCAGGCTGGGCAGGAGGCTGGCTGATTCCTTCCCAAGTCAAGGAGCAGCATGACAACCGGGTTGGTGTCACATGTGGCGCCACCACACGTGGGGCTGACAGGTCTCAGAGCCACACACGTGGCTGTAAAAAGGGGTTTGGTGAGAGCACCCAGGCTGCCTGAGTTGTTTGGGCTGCAGGCCTTGCACTGTCCATTTCCCACATGTGCCTCTCCCAGTCCTGCCCGCTTGGCCGAGCCCTGAGCTACTGCTGGGCCCACATGAGGAGGCCACCATTAGTCCTAGAGCAGCTCAGCAGGCAGGTGGCCTGTCACACCGGTCAGCTCCAGAAGCCTCTGTAGGAGGACTTTGGTACAACCGGGCGCCCCCAGCCCCAGTGGTGATCAGAGCAAAGATGCATCCTTGGGGCAGTGACAATGAAGCAGGTGTTGCCTCCTCAGTCCTGGCCACCAGGCCCTATGCAAGAAGGATCCTTCCCAGTGGGCGAGGACCCAGGGCCACTAGGGTCCCTGCCTGGCCATCAGGGCCACCCCAGGACTCTCCAGCCCTTGTGGGGTCAATTCCCAAGTTTACTTACTGCCCAGGTGGCTTTTCTGGAAGAGGGGAGGGGGTGAGAGACAACGGACACTGTATAAGTGACAGGCTCACCCTTTTTAGGTACCTGCCAGTGGTCGTGCCCTACAACAGCTGCTTTTGGAAGGCAGTATTCCTAGTGTCCAGCAGGGGACACTCCCATGGAGGGGGCCACACAACCAAGGCCATTCTGGGGTAGAGGGCGCACAGCGCTGCAGCAGCCCTGGCCAGCCAGGCCTCGGCCCACACTCCCTCCCGTCCCTAGCCCCCACACTGTCTAAGGTGATGTCCCAGCTTGATTCTTTCTGAGGCTTCTTCAGTTCCCAGTGGCTACTGCCATGTAGCTGCTCCCCTGACCACGGTCTGCACCCGGCCAATTTCCAGGAGGCAGGGGTCAGTACTGGCTCTGTCCTCATCCACTGCTAGGCCTTGGCCTCGGTCCAGCCCTTTGGCAAGGAGGCATTGGCACCAGCTCCGCTGGGCTGCTCAGGCAGTGCTCAACGCAGCAACAACATGGCTCAGTGTCATGCTGTGCCTGCATGTGCTCGTAACATGCCCAGGAGGAGGTGTGATGTTCTGCTGAGGCCCTAGAGCTGATGCAGGTGCCCTGCCCAGACCTTGCCTTGCTAGTCCCACTCCAGGCCACGAGCATAAACCCGCAGACCTGTCCATGTCCTGTCCCCCTCCCTGGGCCATGGTACTGGCCTGTATGGGACACTGCTGGCTGCAGGCCCCCCGCTGGCCTTGTGATCCAGGCAGGCTCCTGGGGGAAGCATCATATCTCACTGAGCAGGTGGCCGTCCCACGTGGGAGGACCCCACACGGCACTGGGGAGGGAGGCAGGTGCCTTACCATTCACTGAGGGCCATCCTCCTGTCATAGACACGGATAGAGCCGTCGCCAAGGCCCGCCACGATGAGTGAGCGGTGGGAATCACAGGACAGACTTGTCACGCAGCTGTCCGCACCTGTGGGGATATCCTAGGCCCAAACAAAGAGCAGTGAAGACGAGGCACCCTACTGCCCGGCAGCACCTGTTTGGCTGCATCTCCCTCCTGCCTTTGTCTCCCCTGCAAGGTGCTCCCTGGGACTCAGTCCAGCTCTGACATGTCTGAGCATCTACCCTACACCTCTGCCCACTGGCTGGGCCAGGCAGAGCCCAAAAGTCAGTGGCAGCCTGCAGGCACCTCTGCAGATGCCCAGCTCTTGGTGCCAATTAAACTTTCCAACAATGCCTCACTCCTTCCTGAAAAGAACGACGAAGCATATTTTGGAAAGGAGGAACCCTCGTCGGCTCCCTCTCAAATCTCCTAATTAGTTGGGGGAACAGCTGAGCAGCAGCTCTCCTGTTCCCCTCGGGACCCATAAATGCTGCGGAAGGGCAGGAGCATTGATGAACACCTGGCAGGAGAGAGCGGGAGACAAAAAATGGGTCTCAGGAGGGAAAAAGTGCTTTTCCAACTACATTGGGGACACCTGAGAGGAAATCCACTCGTAAGGAAAACAGCCCTATCCAGGGAGGGGAGGCTCTGACCAACATGCCCCTCACATGTCTCCATGGTGACTCTAAGAGCAGCTACTCAGAGGTGTAGGACACAAGCCTGCAGGTCAGGTAGGGAGGAGGCCACTTTCTTGGAGCTGCTGCTGAGGTCTTCGCATTTGCTTGGGAAACAACCCCTGAGCGCCTGGGTTTTCACTCTGTACTGTTGGAAGTGGGAAGTTTCATCAAGACTTATTTCCACATAGGACGGAGGGAATGGAATGACCTTGGCTGCAGCGCTGCCCAGAGGAGCCATGACTTCTGGCAGCTGTGGATAACCAGGCCCCCTGTCCCCCAGCACATCTCATTCCCAGCAGGTGCACAGCTCTGCACACAGCCCGGGCATCAGGTGGGCAAGATGGGAGAGGCTGGTCAGTCTGCACCTCTTTGAAATCAGGAGGAAGGATGCCTTTGGACTAACATCCCCCAGGCATTGCCTCTGCAGTGTCTGCAGTCCTGCCTCTGCTCCAGAGGAGATGGGCCCAGCTGGATACTAGTGGGACAGCTGCATGGCCTTCTACTGACCCAGGGGTTTTGGGCATAACCAGTATACTCTGCCCTTTTATTAAAACTGAAGATAAAAGATGCTCTGGGGGCTGGGGTACAGCTTAGTGGTAGAGTATGTGCTCAGCATGCAGAGGCCCTGGGTTCAATCCCCAGCACACAACACACTCACACACACAAACACACACAGACACACTGCTTTAAGAAGCTCACAGTGAAAAAATTAATCATTCTAATTTAAAATATTTCACCCTACTGATTTCTGATATTCACTAATTTGTACAGATACAACAATATTTGAAAATAATTAGGATTAGCATAGGCTTAATTACACTGCAGTGCAGGGTCAAAGTGCCATGATTAATGTACATCCAGAGGTAATTAGTTTCTGGGGGTGTAGAGTCGGGTTCTCGCCCCACAGCACAGCACCTCCTCCTCCACCTGCCTCCCCAGGACAGCAAGAGGCAATCACAAGCTGCCCTTGGCCCAGAGACCACGGTCACAGCTGTCCACATGAGGGTGGGATCTCTTTTGTGGAGGGGAGCGGGACAGTCTGGTAGGTCAGGGTGAGGCAGACCTGCAGTGACCAAGTGCTTGCCGGGCCCACCATGGTTACCTGCACCTTTGTCTCACGGTCTGTGTCCCAGATCCGGACGATCCGCACATCCCCTGAGCTCATAAGCAGGCCAGTTTCTTGCTCCCAGTCTACCACCATCCCAGCTCCTGGGGGGAGACACAGCAGGAAATGGTCAGCAGGCGGGCACCAGGCAGGCTGGGCTGCTCTGGGCAGCCACTCACCCAGTGACTCCCAAGGAGCATCTGCCAGCCCTTAGCCCATCAGGTGGGTCCATGTGCCCCATGTAAGCTCAGGCGGGGGCTCCCTGTATACTGAGTCCAGTTCAGTGGAATTCTGAGCCTCCTCAGAGCCTGGCTACCCCAAGGCATCTGCTAAGGGAGCGGTAAATTCACAAATCCTTCATCCAAGGAACATGCTTTCTGGAATTATGGGGCACAACTGGCAGTTCTGGTGACCTCAGAACAGCCATAATGGCATGAGGATGAGCCCTTTCCTGGCCACAGCAAAGCCCTAGGATCCCAGTTCTTTAAGAAAAGAAGGAACTCTGCACAGTGCATGGGGCAGCTGTACCGGCCAGCACTGTGTGTGGGGAGGGGACTGAATACAAGGCTGGGGACACTGGTGGACAGGCAAAATGAAACAAGGGCTGCCTGGCAGGGCACAGTGGTGCATACCCATGATCACAGCTATTTGAGAGGCTGAAATTGGGGGACTTTTTCAAGCTAGGAGCTTGAGGCCATCGTGAGCACACGGTAAGATTCCATCTCAAAAAAATTACAATAAATAAAGAAAGCAAGAGAGCCTGGAGACTGGACAGGGAGTCACCTGCACCCTCACATAGTGGCCTCTATTTAAAACTTTTTTTTTTTTAGCTGCTGGGGATTGAAACCACAGCCTTACACATGCCAGGCCAAGTGTGCTACCACCGAGCTACAGCCTCAGCTGGCAAGACTTAAACACAGGTAGACATACTTTAAGAATACATGAGAGAATACAGTAGAAATAAATGCCTGTGCCCATGACCTAATAGTTAAGATTTTGTCATTTTTTTTTTAAAAAAGGGTATTATTTTATTCTCTTTTAAAAACTTTTTTTTTTTCCCCTGGGGGTAGGGGATGGAACCCAGGGCTTTGCACGTGCTAGGCAAGTGCTCCATCACTGAGCTCCTCCCCAGCTCAGAAAGTACAGAAAGACATGGCATCACCGCACCCTCTGCCCCAGATGAATGTCCGTGGGCAGAGGGGTCTCCCTGGGAGCCTGAGCTTCTTGGTTTGTATGTCCACCAACAGGAAGACATGCTTCTCCCACTGCAAAACACTCTTCAACTACAAAATGGAGTGTACTTTCTAGCAACTTGCTTTTTTCCTTTAGAGTTCAAGGACTTATTCAACCCAATACAAACAGACCCATTTAATTGATTTAGAGTACGGTGTAGTCCAGTGCACAATCATCTTAGCTATTCGCCGACTCTGGAAACCACACCACACCCAGCAATGTCCTCATGTGCCCTGTGTGTGGCAGGAGGAAGGCCTGGGGAGGGAACTGCCAGCCATGTGTGCTGCACATGTGCAGTCTCTCCAGGTGTGGCCGCCTCAACAAAGAAAACGAAGCAGGAAAAGGAAAAGAAAGAAAAGTGCCCACACAGCTTGGGGCTTTGGGTTCCTGATCTGTGTGGCCACCCATGAGGACGCAGGCTGAGGTCTAAGACAGGGGCCTGTGGGGCAACTGGACAGGTTTTGGAACAGGAGGGGCACCCTGCTGTCTCTTGGGACTGGTGTCTGCAGAGGGGAGCAAGGAACCCCAAGAACTGACAAGTCACAGCGCACAGTGGCTCTTCCCTCGCTAGGTCGTCCCCAGGGAAAGGTGCTGCAGGTGCACTACCACGCCGGTGGAGGAGCCCTGGAGTGCGGCTGAGCGTCAGCCTTGGCGAGGGTCCCTTGGGCTGTTCTTCAGAGGGAATGCTGGCTCCATGCAGCCGACAGCCCATACCACCTAGCTGGACAGGGGGCAGCTGTTCAGATTTCTTGGCAATGCCGAGACCCGGCACCCTGAGACAGTCTGCTGACACCCTGCTCACCAGGGCATGGGCGGTTCAAGTCATGTGGGAGCCCTGGGCTCCTGCCTGCCCTGAGTCAGCCCTGGCTGCTGTAATGAAATACTGCAGACTGCATGGTTCTTATTCCTCACTCCTCCATCACCTCCCAAAGGCCCATTTCCATTTCATTGGCAGTTAGGGCTTTAACACATGAATCTGGAGGACACATTTAGTCCCTAACATTTCCCTTGGGAGAGAATGAGGGCTGGGGGAAGGCAGTCAGACCTCAGAAGAGGGGCAGGTCCTTGGGGCAGTGCAGCCCCAGACCAGGACAGTGAGCACCCTGGTTTTCAGGTGAATGTTACCAACTGGAGACTTCCCTGATAGGCTGTGCTCTGAAGACTGTTCCTGCCATGCTGCCCTGTCGCACAGCCTCTTTGGCAGGTAAATGCAGAACGAGGGCACACTCTGGGAACTTCCAGAACATTTCCGTAGCGGTACCTGACCTTTGCAAGGCTCACTATCTCCAAGGATTTAATGCCCCAGAAGGGAACCTCGGATCAGTGTCATTGTCAGGACAGAAGGCAGCATCTTTCCCCTGCTGGCCTCTTTATGGGGCCGAGGTGCAGCTGGCCTACCTGAACCATTTTTGTTTTAAACAATATATTTTTTATTAATATAGTTTAGGTATACAATAATTACATTCAACGTTGGAATTTTGTACCCTTACATGAAGTATCTGGGTTTCCTGCACCCTTCTGACCATCCATCTCATGTCAAACTCAGGATGAGGAAGGAGAGGCTATCCAGCAGTGTGGGCAGTGTAATATCCTCTTTTCCCTCCTTAGAGCGTGAGGCTTTACAGCTTGCTCACTATCACTGTCTCCACCAGACTGGTGACAGCCCCAGGCCCAGAATGACCTCCAAGGCCTGCGGCACCCCCACTTGAGGCACCTTGTGGGCCCTCTGCCTGGCCAGTGTCTGTTCCTTGGGGTCCTCCCTCTGCTTGCCTCCTGGCTGCCCCGTTAATAACTATTAACAACTTAACACAGCCCCACATGCATGTCAGCATTCACATACTGAGGCTGGGCCCTTCTCAGTCCTCCCTGGGGCCACTGCGGTAGCATAGTTCCTACTGCCGTGTCACCCTGGCTGCCTCCAGCTCCACCCTGGGAATAAAAATATGCTTAGAAACATGCCTGGCTCTGATAGTGGCATTCAGAGGATGGTTTTGCTCTGCTCCTGGCCCAAAAGCTTGACGAGAGGGCCCACTGTGATCCGGCACCAGCTCTGGACATCCAAGGGTGTGACCAACTGCCGGAAGGATGCAGTGAGGCTGCCAGCTTCTGTCCATCTCTAGACCCATACACAGAGGTGCTCTGGCCTTCCTTTAGGGTTTCAGAGGAAGTAGTTTGGCCACATCTTTTCTACTTCATCCCCTGTCAGTTGGCTTGGTTTTTCTTGTCTGGAGATTGGAGATTTAAGACTCTCCTTAAAAACTTACAGTCAATCTTGAGTTTTCTTAACCATCTTTCTTTCCTTTGAACTTATGTAACAGTTCTCTACAGTACAAAAATGTGAGTCCAGAAGGTCCACGGGATGCAGCCCACCTCTATTCCTATAAATCTGATGACACACAGCAACTGTGGCTTGTGCTAGGGCAGCTGTGACTCTATGACAATACTAAGGGGCCAATGAAAGAGAGCCTCGGACAAGAGGAGCTCACTGGGAAGTGCCCCCCAACCCCGTGAAACACAGATTCTGCAAATCAGATCCAGAATTACATCTGTGCCACACGAGTGAGGTGCCACTCTTCTTCTATAATTCGCCTCAACAGTATGACCAGAGGAAGAGCTAGTTTCAGTTCTCAGGGTCTCGCTAGCCTGCCTTTGATGCTGTGTATCTGCAGAGAGCTGAGATACCAAACTCATATGCCACTGGGCCAGGGATTTAGCTCAGTGGTTCCGCTGCCTGCCTTGCAAGCACAAGGTCCTAAGTCTCATATGCCATATTTCTATGACCACAGATGCTTCTAGAGACTTTGCATTGAATTCTGAAGGATCTTTTCTGAAAGTTTAGATGGGTTATCCCTTGCTCCTAGGCCAGTGTGAGGTGACTTAGAGCCTCCTCAGCCACTGGGAGACAAGGAGGCAGGACGAGAAGGGGGCTGGAGACTCAGACTTCACATTTGGCTTTGGGGATAAGGAGCCCAGGGCACAACTAAAGCCCCCTGGCTTCGGGGAAATGTCCTGAATCCCTCTTCTCAGGGACTTCCAGAGGTAACTGATTCGCCCAGTGAAATCCGCATGCAGGCTGACATTATGTCAGTGTTGGGTGACACAAGGAGGGGGGCAACACAAGGGGTGGAACAAGTAAGAAAAGCTCTGGCTCTAATCTCCTCTGGGTTCATAAACACTCAGGCCTCCGGACTGTGGTCAGACAGACCCAGACCTTCCTGAACAGATCTGTGAGGAAACCAGGCTATGGCTCTGATGCCAAGATAAGCTGATGAGTTGAAGCAAAATTAAGAAAGGTTAAACCAAACTAGGATAGAAGAGTAATTGGCATAGATAGGGAAGGAAGAGAAAGAGTGACTTCTGGACTAGCGCCATGGCTGTCTCAGCCAGAGGATGCCCAGCTGCAGGATGAGGTGGACATCTGCCAGGTAAATATAATCAGCCAACTATCAGTGCTTTTGGCTAAAGAAATGTGTCTCTCTATACAGGAAACTGGGGGCGCCACCCTGAAGACCTCAGAACTTCTAGTGCTTCAGCTTCCGTGACTGTGCTGAAGTTCTTGTGCTCAGGTGAAAGAGGCCTTTGCATGGGAGAAGGTGTAGTGAGGGTTTGCACCTAGAAATGCACACAGACCATGCAGACAAACTGACCAGAACTACCGCAGTGGCTCTGAGAGGGCCCGGGAGAGCATGGACAGGTGCAGAACAGAGCCAGAAGCACAAGTGGCCTGGGTTGGGGCATAGTGAACAAGACTCACAGGCTGTGAGTAGAGTCCAGGGTCAGCCTTTCCCCAGAATGGAAGGCAGAGATGGAACCATGAGGTCCAGGGCAGGCCTCACAGGGACAGCTGACTGGAGGAGGAAGGCCATGTCCAGCAGGATGAAGACTAAGACCCAACCCACTGGTGCACAGAGAGCTACCTGCAGGGCCACCATTATTCTTCACCTAGTGTCAGCAGGGCATGGGAGTCATGCTGGAGGGCGACGGCCCCACAGTGCAAATGCTCTGGGCCCAGGGAGGCTCGGCCTGACCTGGTGGGCCTCTGGACTCCTGAGAGGCCTTCCTGAAGGACTGCACGGCGTCCTTCCTCCCAAGCTGTGGCGTGGCGCAGGGACACGGAGAGCCATCCAGCCTACTGGCCTCCTCTGCCTGGTCCAGGTTACCACTCCCCAGGCATGCAGGTAGGCACAAGGAGCACATGACAGGCCCAGCCAGTGACAATGCTTTCCAATGCCTGAGGACAGGCCTGCCCATGGGTGCTGCCTCCAACTCAGGGCCACATGTGAGGCTCTGAAGGGCACTCAGATCCCTGCAGTTTATGCGCTCTCATGGCTGTCAGGGGAGGCTGCTGGGTGATGATTTCAGGGATTCTGAAGTGACGGGGAACTGGCCTGGAGGCATTGGAACCACGTCTCCTGCATGACAGAGACAGTACTCATTCTGGACCTCCTCCTCCAGGAGCCACAGACCCACCTCGTGTTGTTGGCAGCATGTCCGAGAGCCCCTGCCACGCAGTTACCATCTCTGGGTTCTTTTCCAAGTCAGCAAAATTCTTCCAGACCCTGATGGCGCCATCATCTGAGGAAGAGAGAGGGAGGGACATGGTGCTGTGTCCTGTGCTGGCCTGGCCCAGCTTGGCATGGGGGTCAGACTCCTGCCTTGGAGGTCACAGTCAGGCCCCTGCCTCGGGGTACAACCCCCAAAATGCAGCACAGAGCTCTGTGTGTCCATCTTCACCATTCTGTCTGCAGATTTACATCTGAGCCAAAGAAAGCCAGCACCAAAGGCAGAGACCACCTGTGACCTCTGGGCCTCTGCAGGCCGCAGAGCTTGACATTAGCCAGCCGGGCAGCTCCTCTTGCCTTGAGCTCTTAGCACTGAGCCTGCCTCTCTATGGTCAGAGCTGAAGACCTGGCCAGGACCCCATCTCCTTGGTCTCCTGGTCACTTGGTTCTCATCTTGTCATCTCTACCGAGGACATGAGATTCAGGGGCTTGCTCTTGTGGAGCTCTGCACACCATCAGTCTAAGTGTCTGAGGGAGTCTCCAGACTGTGCAGCAGGAGGGGTGCCCTCTTCCCTGCTCTGTACGGCTCATATGTGTCCTCTGGCATCTGGGCAGGGATGTGGGGTCTGTGTGATATGAGGCTCTATGCCCAGAACCCCACTCTGACCCCACTGAGCTGAGCCAAAGCTGAGCCTTTACCCCGCTGAGCGTCTGCTCGCCGATGTCAACCTGGCAATGAGCATCCCTGACGGGAGGGAACCAGGCCCTTCTGGGGCTCCTCTCTGACGCTCCCACCCTTCAGTGCTCAAAGATGTTCGTGTCTGACCTGTCCTAACCTAACCTGGTTCAGTCTTGCTGGTCCCTAGTGCACATGGTGTACTCTTCGCTGTCCAGTGCACACTGCGCTGGATGGCTTTGGATACGACTTTCACCCTACTTGGGCCAGAGGTGCATGGCGAGGAAGGCATGGCTCCCATTCCTCATAGTCATGCTGGGCACAGGGAGCCAATGCTTTGAGGCAGGAGCCAGGGCCAGTAGTGGGGTGGAGGCTGAGGCAGGAGGTTCTGGAGTTCAACACATCCTGGGAAACTTAAGTAACTTAGCTAGAACCTGTCTAAAAATAAAAAAAGGGCTGAGGACACAGCTCAGTGTAAGGCCCTGGTTTCAGCTACCAGCACTACAAAGAGAAAAGGAAGAAAGGGAGGGAGGGAGACGGTAGAGTCACGCTGTCAGTAACACTCATTGATGTTGGTGGCTCAGATGCCTAAGTCCAGGACTGAACAAGGACAGGACAGAGCGCCCAGGGTGGGTCAAGGGACGACTCCCCATCTCACTGCCACCCTGCTTGGCTTTTCTACCTGTGCAGCTCTACCACTGATGTTCTCGTGGGCAGGGGGCCATCCACAGAACCACAGTTTTAAAGTGCTAAAGGAAAACAACTACTGCCCAGAGTAACTGACTTGCAAAACTACTGCTTCAACCAATGCGAGCATGAAATGAAGATGTCTCAGAGCAAAGAGAAAAAAAATCATGAAAATAGTCCAGAATGAGATCCACTCCATGCTGAGACACATCTGACAGCCTGTCCTGCAGGCAGGAGGCACCTGGCCTGCAAAGGAAGCAGGGACACATAGGAACCAGCTGATGGCCACGGCTGTGCAGACCACGGCATCCTTCTGCATTCCTGGGTGTCTCGGTGGTCACCTGGATCTCCTATGAAGAGGACAGAGGCTGACAGGGCATTTCCTGAGATGGACGGGCTGCGGACCAGAGCTGGAGACCACAGCCAGGAAGTCACCACTGTACTCCGGCCTGTGTCCACACCCTGCCCCTCACAAGCCCCACCTTGAAGCAGCCGTGGCCCTCTTCATGAGCAGCACCCTCTGCAAGGTGACAAACTAAACCCATTGGTTTTGTGAGCCTCAGGACCTCACACCTGTCTGCCCCTACCCTGCGCCTTGGCGCAGGTCCAGCCGGCCAGACCCACTCACCTGTGGCGGTGAGCAGCAGGGAGCAGTCCTGGCCATTTAGGTACTCCATGGCAGTGACCCTGGTGTACCGCGGATTTCCGTTGTGAAAGTAATCCAGCTTCTCCCCTTTCTCCCAGTCCCAAAAACTTGGAGGAAAAAGAGGAATAAGACTAGTCATTAATGAAATGCAAATCCCAGCTACACTGAGACCCCACCTGACACCCATAGCATGGCTACTATCAAAAGGCAGAAAACAGCAAGCATGGGTAAGGATGTGGGGTAACCGTAGCCCCTGTGCTCTGCTGGGGGGAACGTGCAAGAAACAGCACTGCGGGGCCTCACAATCCAGTCACTCCACCTCTGTACGTCCAGAAGAAGTGGGAGCAGAGACTTGACAGATAAGTATTTGTACACCCACGCTCACAGCAGCACTATTCACCATAGCCAACAACCCGCTGGTCCACTGAGAGATGGTGTGTGAACAAAATGTGGTCCATAGTAGGACAGAATATGATTCAGCCTTCAAAAGAAATGGAATTCTGACACATGCCACAACATGGATGAACTCGGACAACACCAGGCTAAGTGAAAGAAGCCAGACACGGAAGGACAAATACTGTGTGACCTAGGTGAGGTCCTGCATGGGGTCAAATTCAAGACAGGAAGTGGAGTGGGGGTTGTTAGGGGCTGGGAAGGGAGGATGAGGAGTGATGCCTAAAGGCGGCAGTTTCCGTTTGGGAAGATGAAAAAGTTATGAGCTGGGCGTGGTGGCACACACTTGTAATCCCAGCTAGTCAGAAGGCTGAAGTAGGAGGACTGGGGTTTGAGGATAGCCTGGGCAACTTAGCAAGACCCTATTTCAAAATATAAAATTAAGGCTGGGGATTTAGTTCAGTGGTTCCGCTGCCTGCTTTGCAAGGACCTGAAGTTTGATCCCTGGTACAAAAAAATAAAACAAAACAAAAAAAAACCCAAAACAAAATCAAAATATAAGATTAAAAAGTGCTGGGGTTGCAACTCACTGGCAGAGAGTTCCTGAGTTCAAGTGAATGTGTTTAATGTGTTTAATGCCCTGATAGTGGCCTGAAACATGATTAAGAGGTAAATTCTACTAGAATTGAGAGAGAGAGAGAGAGAGAGGAAAAAATTGCAGGCATTTCATAAGCTATAGGAGCCTCTTCACTTTCTTTCCCCACAAGCAGGTATTCTGCCTGTCACACACAGGTGAGACTTTTTGTAAATGAAATTTGGGCTTCTCTTTGGGACACCAGGTATCTTTTGATCACTGCTTTCTGGTTGGGTTGCACACTGCGTCTGCAGAGGAGGTAATCAGGGAGACCCCCACACACCAGCTTCTCTATGACAGATGTGGTTTGGAAGCTGGCCCTGCGGTGACCTATGATCAGAACTCTCAACTGTCCTTCAGCCAGAAAGAGGTCAGGGTGGGCCAGGCATCAGAGAGGGAGGTGAGAGGGACAGCTGTCAACTCTGTGAGCAAGAGCGGCAATGAAGGGAGAAGGATGTGGATTTACAGCACTGTGGTGACTGCTCCCCAGGAAGGTCTGCAGTGGCAGTGCCTACCAGATGCTGTCCTTGTCTGCCACAGCCACGCACGGTGTGAAGGGGTGGAACTTGACCACGGAGGGGACACCGGGGTTCCTATTGAGGAATATCTGGTCATCCAGCCTGGTGATGCCTGCAAAGGAAGCACACAGATGGTGCCGTGGGTGCCCAGCGACACTCACGACACATCTCAGGGGGCTGACATTAACACCTGTGTGTGGGGATGCAGAGGAGACAGCGGGAAAGCAGGAGTCAAAGAGAGGGGCTGAAAGCACACACTGGGGAACGAGTAGGGCGACGCTGGTCCAGTCTGTCCTTGGGGTACGTCCCCAACTGCCTTTGCTCAAACTCCCCAGGGCTCCCAGCACAGCTGGATGCTTAGCGAGCATTTGGTCAACACTTTCCAAGTTGCACAATTCAGACTGGGGCAAACTCAGCTGGGGAGGAGGAATCCGTGGAGAGTGTTGAGGACTTTGGAAGGAAGCCTGGCAGAGCTCTGACCTGGAGACTCACCACTCCCCGAGACCCAGTCAAGGAGCCGGGTCTTCGGTCTACAAAGAGGATGGCCAGGAAATTGCATGACTTAGGACAAAGCTCACCAGAGAGGAGACACACCCTCATGGCCTTTTGAATTTCTTTGAGAAGGAACCCAGAAGCTGAGGAGCAGTCAGGACGGGTCTGGACAGCTTCCGGGGAGTAACAATATTTACTCAGAGCACCTGTGCATTACCAGCACAGGTGCTGCTCCTCAGTTCTGGCATGGAGGAGGAAAGAACCTCCAGCCTCAGACCCGAGTACCTGGGAGGGTGTTTCAGGGATCACACGCCTCCTTAGCCACAAGCACAGCTCTTGGGTGGGTTGGCCGTACTTCCAGTCTGGCCTGGGGAACCTGGGGAGGTTCTCTGGTCTTCCTGTGGGGAGCAGTTGGCTTGATGCCTGGCACCAGGCCAACCCACCCTGGGGCACCAGGCCCTGTGTATGGGCAACTGAGCTGGATGTGACTGTGGGCACCATGCAGGCGGCCCCCTCGCCTGTGACCCTCGTTGCTCAGGTGGCACCAGAACTGCAGGGTCAGGGCTGATCAGCCAGATAGCTGACACTGCCCGGCATGCAGCCAGTCACTGCTCTGCCACCTCCTGATCCCCTGGCCTTTTTTCCTTAAGAGGCAAATACCAGCGGCTGTGGTCAGGAGACAAAACTGCTTTGTGATCAGAGGGGTTACACTAATCAAGGAGAACAGCCCTGCAGTTTTAAGTGGCGGCAACAGTCTAGCCTGGGGCACCTTCATTCTTCGTTAAGGTTTTTTAGGAGCCAAGAGTGGCCATAATTTTGAGCATGAAAAGATAGAGGGAAACACCCTGTCAGTGAATGCACTGGGTGCATAACCAAGTAACGGGAGGGGGTGACAGACAGTCAGGGTCAGGAAGGTCTGCAGGGATTGTGAACGGGCAGCCCAGGGACAGAACAGAACCCACATGGACCTGTCCAGCCCCTGTCTCTGGTTAATTTTGTTCGGTCTGTAGGCATCATTTCTCCACCTTTCACTGTTTTTCTACTACACGGCTGGTTGTAAAATAAAGAAGTTCGCGCTGCATCCCCGTGCTGAGCCTGGCAGCGATGGGGGCAGGTTGGGGGGCGCCCAGCTGCGCTCTACACCCTCATTCCCAGCACTGAGTCTACTGGCATCTCCCGGTCCCACCTGCGGATGTTCCAGCAGGTCATTAGCTCTCCCTGTGTGCTCTTTATAGAATGATTAACTCTGGTTTATAAAGATACTTTTTCTGGTCTAGAAAGCCCATTTTTGTTCCATGAATGGCTGGCTCAGCGTGGCCCTTGCCACAGGGGCAGCTCTTTTCAGGGTTGCTGAGGTGAGCCAGGCCAGCCTCTGAGCAACAGGCTGCTAACCTGTGCTGGCATTCTGAGCCAGCAGGCTGGGACCTGAGGAACCACACCCTCCCGGAAGTCGCCTCCTGTGCCTGCGACGTGAGGGCCGCAGAGCAGGCACTGGGTCCTCCCCTGATAGCCAGCAGGCTACACACGCCTGCACGGTGGCTGCTGGCACAGCATACACTGACACTGAGTGCTTTGAATGTAGTCTGCCAGTGCCTTGGCAGAGGCACAGAGAGGCCAGCTAGACCAGTTCTTAGCAGAGCGGTACTCTGGGGACAGTGTGCAGATGTGGACGAGGCATGTGGCAAAGTGCTTCCATGACGTGGCTAGCCCTGGGGTGCTCGACGGAGGAGGACATGTGGGGCACACGTGATCAGAGACAGATGCCACCCTGCCATCTGCAGCCAGGCCAGGGCAGAAGCTGTGAGGCCTCTCCTTTGGCAAAAGAGGGGAACAGTTTGTCCTGTGGGGCCTCAACCTCAATTCAGAGGGTAACGCGTTATCATCATGAATCCCACAGGACAGGGCAAGGTCAAATGTGAATCAGAAGAGCAGGGGAGGCCCAAGACTGGCCACGGTGGACAGTGCAGTAGCAGGTCCCCCGCCGTGGCCCGCTGGGTTGGAGATGTAGGATGGCCTCTCCTCAGTGCTCAGACTGTGAGCACGGCCCTGGGTGAGGCTGCCTGGCTCTCAGCTCTGTTGACCTCGGGCTCCCCATTTCCTGCACAGCCTCCAAGCAGGTGAGGGGGCACAGCCCAGACCTGTTCTCGGGTGTTCACTCTTGCTTGCCCCGGCAGTGATGTACACCTGCTGTCCTCGGCCACTCACTGTCCCTTCTCCAGGCGAGGATGGGAGCAAACGAGGGCGATTTTGTTGTCTGTTGGCAAAGCTGGGACACGGCTCGGTGAAGGCGTGACAGCAGTCCCCTCAGGGACACGTGGAGGCAGCTGAACAATACTAGGCCCGTGTTTCTGCTTTACATTCCCAGGAAAGGGTGCCCTGCCAGGTGTAACATGTACCCCTAGGGCCCCAGAAATGTTTGGCCTTCCCTTCAGAGAACCTCAAATTATAGAAGTGCTGGTCCTCTGAGAGGCCACTAGCAGCTGGGGGTCTGACGGCTGACGGCCCAGGGCAGCACAGCCCCCTCCTGAGGCAGCCCCTTCCTGCAGTCTTTCCTTTCCCTGCTCCAGGCTCCAGCTGTTGCATGACCTTAAATGATCTCAGCTTGACCAGTGTGTGCCCTTATCTGCAAGGGAGGTGCAAGGTTCCCTGGGATGACGGGAGGCGGGGCAAGGTCCTGTGGCCTGGCAGATGGTCTGCTCACTGGGCTGAGCTGACCTCCCTTCCCAGCTCAGCCTCTCCTCCTGGGGGGACTGTGTGCTCGGAGGCCTTACCCTTCTGGATGACCTGCTGTGCCTGTCTCCTGACGCGGGTGTTCCGCAGGAACCGCCACTCTCGCTCCTTGCGGATCTGACTCTCCAGGTCATGTTCTTCAGGGATCTTCAATGACACAAACACCCAATTACTCTCAGCAACTAGAAAAGAGTTTCTAGACAGAGTCCCCTGGCTCGGGTAGAAGGTTTTGGACCATCTAGCCCAGCCTGTGGTTGTCTAGTCCCTAGTCAGGCAGAGAAGAGCATCCACAGAACTCAAAGGGTAGCGCCTCTCACCGTATGCCCAAGGCCTGGGCTGCTGAGACCCTTGGGGAGTGGCCTAAGGATGAGACCAACAGGGATGTGAGCAGAGACCTAGGCAGAGTCTTCCTGACCCGCCTGCTGACTGGCTTGACACTAACCTTCGTTTGCATAACACTGGTGGATGTCCTTCATCTTACACCTGGTGGGTAAATTTGTCTGACTCTGGTTCCCTGCTACAAAGCTAAGAGTTAGTTGACAATTCCCAAAATATAGTAGAAATAAACAAAACACTTCTTCCTGGCTGACACTGCACAGAGGAGTTTATGTGACCAGCCTCAGGGTCAATCAGGATGACAATGCGAAGGCAAGGAGAACACATATTCTTGGGCGGCTGCCTCTGGTAGAAACAGTGCAGGCTAAAGAACTCTGAGCAGACTGGCAGGGCTGGGGTTGTGAGCGTGTTGTGGCTGGGAATCTGGGAGCCTCCCTCACAGGGAGCGCGAAGCAGCTCCTCCGCACAAGTTCACAGAACTTCTGCATCTCCTCGAACACCTGGCGTTATATCTGACAGCAAAACATAAACAAGCAAATTCCACACTCCCAGTGTTCTCATAGGTGGCCTGCAATTTGTCCTCCAGCATTTTATTGCAATGCCCTTTCTTTTTTTCTTCTTAAAAATTGCAGAAACTCACACCTGGCAGAAAAGCAACAACAGCAATAGAGGACATCCACACCCAGAAATGACAGGAAGAGGTGTCAACGGCCTCCCCGGAAATGCTTACTGGTTTAGAAACAACCCTGCAATGGCTCGTGGGAGAGACTGTGGATTCATAACAACTGGCTTCATTTTATGACAATCCAGAGCTTATTAGAAAAGAAGCGACAAATGACCAATAATGTAGAGTAATAATAAGGGAAAAAACTCAAAGCCTGTGTTGGAAGAGGGATATTGCACTTTAATGACTCGGGTTTCTCTGGGAGGGTGCTAGAGAAAGAGGTATAAAAGGTGCTGTGAGCAGGGAAGGGGTGGACCGAGGGCACAGCATTCCTGGTCCCTGACCAGCTCCTGGTTCACTGCTCCAGACTAGGAGTGAGGAGGACTTGGGCAGGCTCCTAAGACAGTGACAGCAAGAGCCAGAGGCAGCCTGCATACCGGAAGCCGGTAGGTCTCAGTCTGACACTTGTGTGGTCACCAACCACCAGCACCATGGGCTTGGGCCCAGGCTTCTGCCTTTCGGCAAGGCTGCCGGCTGTGCTGGAGCTCTCAGAGCCCTAATTCCTTACCCTAAGCATCCTGCTGGTCACAGTCAGTTCTGACCATCAGGCACACAGGGTGCCCTGAGAAGGTGAGGCACTCTGGGGACCTGACGAGGGTCCCTCAGAACAGAGGGACCTGATGAGATTGGCCCTCGGAGACTCTTAATCATCCTTCCTGTGCACCTCCCAGCCATTTCTCTCACAGCTGAATAAAAGCTCTTTGGTAAACAAGAGTCAGTCCAGACCCAGCTCTGCTTCCCTCTGAGCAGAGCTCCTGGAGGCCGTGGGCAGTGTAACAGTGTTACATGATGAAGATCACCACACTGGATTTTCCTCAGACAGAAACCAATTACAGTTCTGTGGCCTCCCACAGAGGCACGAGGGCTGCCAGCCAGTGGTGCTCAGCTTCTTTCTGGTCACAAAGAAAAACTCAGGGCTTGGGAACAAAGGAAGATGAAGGGTACCCAGGAGGCTAACAGGGAGAGGTAGGTGGGGGCATTCACAGAGAGTAGGGAATCTAAGAATGTGGAGGCCTTGTCTTATTTTCTGTCACTCTGAATTAAAAAAGCTTCAAAGAGTGTTGGATAAAATTCAGAGCAGGGGGCCGGGGATTTAACTTAGTGGTTCTGCCACCTGCCTCGCAAGTCCAAGGACCTGAGTTCCATCCCCAGTACCAAAAAACAAAATAAAACAAAGACAGAGGAGGAACATTACCGTCAAAATTAAAAAAGGCCTGGGTGAAGGATAAGGGGGAGGACCCCATGGAAAGGTATGTTAATGCAGAGGAGCAGAGCACTAGGAGGCTGTGGACAGGTCCCATGCTGGCTGGACCAGCATTTCCCTCAGGGCGCGCCCTTCTGAGCACAAATTGCTAGTCCTGTCTTGACCACCAGAGCTAAAGACTTCGATTTGCACCCAAATAAGGGTACTTGTATTGTCTGACTCCACTTTTCCTTAAGTGTGCCTTCTTCACAAGGGGAAAGGTTCTTTTCCCCTTAAGTCAGGTTGATTGAGATACAATTTTTTATGTACAGCAAGCTTCACACCCGTTAGGAACAGTTCGGATTTTCGCAAAGCCTTACAGTCATGTGAACCGGGCATGGTGATGCACACCTGTAAATACAGCATTCAGGATGCTGAGGCAGGAGGACTGCCACAAGCTCAAGGCTACCCTGTGCTATATAGCAAGTTCATGGTTACCTTGGGCTATACGGCAAGACCCTGTCTCAGAACAAAAGCAATACCAAACCAAAACAAAAAGATAGTCATGCGACCTTACGTATCAGGACAGAGGACTGTCCTGGCACTCCAACACGTTTAGTGACCCAGTGGTCTAGCCCTCCCTGGTGCCCCAGGCCTGGCACCACTAAGCTCATTTCTGACCCTAAAGCTTTGTGTGCTCTGTAGCACTGTCTGCTGGACCACAGTATGCGGCCCACTCAGCGTCTTCTTCCACTTGCAATTTCTCTGTGCTGTTGTACCAGCTCATTAATTGTCTTCTGACCAGCTCTACTAGGGTTTACCTGTCCATCAGTGGAGGATATCTGAGTGGCTTCCAGATCTGGTGAATATAAATTAGCCATTGGAGACACTCACTGGTGTCCGCAGGAACACTCTGCACTCCTCTGAGTGGGTGCTCAGGAGCAGGATGGCTGGGATGTGTGCGAGGTGAATGTCTAATTTGATAAGAAACAGCCAGACTTTCCAAAAGTGTCTACCTCTTGCACCTGTATGACCAGGTGAGTGTCGGTACGGACAGATTTCCGGGGTTCATCATTCCGGGGGTGCATGGCTGTACTCTGCGCTTCCCTCGTTCTTCCTTCTTTGTCACGAGCATCTTTTCATGAGCTCGTCTGCTACTTACACAGCTCTCTTAGTGAAGGGTCTGTGCAAATCTTCTGACAATTTTAAAAAATTGGGTTCCTTTCTTCCTTATGGAGTTGAGACTTTTTCGTTTTCTTTTTGGTACCAGGGATCAAATTTAGGACCTTGTGCTTGCAAGGCAGGTGCAGGGCCACTGAGCCAAATCCCTGGCCTGAGAGTTTTTTAAGTATACCAGATCTTTATCAAGTGAATGTTTCACAATTTTCTTTTAGCTCGTGGCTTGTCTTTTCACTTTATTAATGGCATATTTCAATGAACAGTTTTTTTTTTTTTTCATTTTTTGGTTTCTTGAGACAGGGTCTCACTATGTAGTTGAGACTGACCTGGGTCTCACTATGTAGCCCAGACTGGTCTCAAACTCACAGCGATCTTCCTGCCTCAGCCTCCCGAGTGCTGGGATTACAGGCGTGCGCCACCAAGCTCAGCTTCAATGAACAGATTCAAATTGTGATGAAATCTCATTTATCATTTCATCTTATATGGCTTCTGCCTTTAGTAGTTTAAGGAATCTTTAAGCCAAAGTCAGGAAGATATGGATGGAGGTTCTTTTTTCTGGCACCACTTGTTGAAAACTATTCTCCACTGATCAGATTGTCGTCACATATTAATTGAAAATCCATTGAACGTATTTGTGGTTCTATTTTTGGGCTATTCCATTGATCTTTGTGTATCTGTCCTTCCCCCAGTTCCACACTTGTTGTAAGGAACTTAACTTTACAGTGAGACTCGATATCATTGTTGAGTCCCCTTTGTCTTAGCTCAAAATTATTTTTTATTTTAGCTTCTTTGATTTTCTCTATCAGTTTCATAATAAGCTTATTGATTAAAAATTCTATTGGTTTTGGTTAGGCTTGAATTTATTTACATACCAATTTAGGGAGAACTGACATCTTCACATTACTGATTCTTCCAATCCATAAACATGGTCTTCACTTAACTTAGGTTTTCTGATTCCCCTCATCAGTGTTTTGTTATTTTTCTTTTACATACCTAAGTACTGTTGGTTTTGGCACTATTGTAAATGGTACTGATGCTAAATTTACATTTCCAATTTTCTTATAGACATGCAATTGATTTTTATACAATGACTGCATCCTATAGACTTACTAAACTTACTAACTCCAGATCACTTGTTGTTATGCACACAACAATGTTGCCTGAGTCAGTGTGGTGGTACGTGCCTGTAATCCCAGCACATGGGAGGTTGAGGCAGGAGGACCACCATGAGTCTGAGGCCAGTTTAGGTTACAAAGTGAATCTGAGGCCAGTCTGCACTGAAAAGTGAGACCTGCTTCAAAAAACCACACCAAACCATAATCAAACCAAACCGAACATCAACAATAATGTTGTCTGATCCTGGATATAGTTTCATCCTTTCCATTTGTAACCATTTATTTTTTTCTTTCTTTCTTTCTTTTTTTTTGGTACCAGGGGATCAAACTCGGGACCTTGTGCTTTTGAGGCAGGTGGCAGAACCACTGAGCTAAATCCCTGGCCCTTATTTTTCTTTTCTTGTCTCACTGCACTGCATAGGACTTCTGGCAAGATATCAGATGGTGAGATCAGACCTTCTTCTCTTGTTCTTAACCTTAGAGAAAAAGGATCCCATCTTTTACTGATCAGAATGATACTGACTCTAGGTTTTCTGTAGGTGTTCTTTCCTTCTCATCCTAGTTTGCTGACTTTTTGTCATGGACGACTGTTGAATTCTGTCAGGTGCTT